GCTCCGGGCCTCGCGCGGTTCTGGCGGGAGGAAAGGGCCGCGGCGGGGGCGGACGGTTGGTTGCTGTTCTGGTGACTCTCGTAGGACTCCCCGATAGGGGCTTCGAGACTTGGTATTTCCTCCCCTCCCGGAGAACAATCTTTCCCCGCTCCCCGTGCGGATCGGGGTGAATTCGGTAAACAGCAACGCTTAGCGTCCCCAGCTTCGGAGGGCAGCCTGTATCTTCCCGGCGCCGGGCTCCCGGCAGCCGCGGACTCCGGTGGTGCTCTTGGCCTATTGCGTGACCTTGGGCCAGATGAGACACTTTGTTCTCCTGTGCGCTTTGTGGGGCAGTTTTGAGATGCGTTGGGTGTTACAGTTAGAAAATACCATGCTTTCATCAAGTAGTTTTGTTTTGCCTCTGAGCTACAACAGCAGCTGTTGTTGCTTGTAAAATAGAAACCGTGACAAACTAGAACACTGCTGCACCTGGTTCCAAGGCACTTTGTGTAGGCAGGAAAACTAACTTCTGGAAGTATAGCGTAGACTCGTATTACTGAGAGCACTTATATGTAGAAGCTTTTTTAAAGCAAAATAAAAAACTAGCCTTTCCCATTTAGAATGCTTACTTGCTTACTAAACATGTACAAATTAAAGGTTATATTCAATAGGCTTATACTTTCTATATGTTATAATTGCAAGTTCTGAGGGAGAACAGATCCTGATTACATCAGCCTCTTTAAAAGATTTAAAAATTGCATATTGGTAAAAGAAAATCACAGATGCGTGTGTGTGTGTGCATCAACATGGATTCCTAAGTCATCCAGGGAGTCTTGTTATGTGAGTCTGTCAAGAGACGAATGCAGCCTGGTTGTTATAGTGTTAAGTTTTGACTAAACTTTGGCAAAAAAAATTAAGTTCTTGCAGTAATAACAAAATAAGGCATTCTGTTCTGCAGGTTAAGGATGGGGAAAATGATATAAAAAGAAGGAAGCTTCCAAAGAACTACCTACAATGAAGGCATTTCATCCTTTCTTAGCCTAATTCTGCTTTCTTGGATCTCCCTGGCTGGGGAAGTTTTACTTGCAACATCCAATCACCTTCTGCAAGCAAGAATATTGCATTCAGCTTTTTTAAAACCTTGAGTTATTTCAAGGGGCCAGAGCAACCCAGAACTTTTCATTTTATTTTATTTTTAAGTTAGGATGCATAGATAACTAAGTAGGTTAAAAAAATCAATGGATGATCAGAGTCAGAGGGAAGTGGTTAATGGGTCATACCCTGCCTGGGTGCTGGTTAAAAAGTAGAGTACTGCAAGGTGTCATGGGTTTGAGTTACCTGGAGCAGCAGGCAGTAGAGTGAATTCTTATAAAGATTATAGATGACAATCAAATGAGGAGTGGGGGGAAGCTTCAGTCAAAATGCTGGAAGTAAGGCTGCCATTCAGATGGAACTAGGCAGGACCTGGGGCTGCTGGCAGACAGCAAGCTGGACGTGCCAGCCAGCAGCGTGCCCTGGCAGCCAAGTAGGCCAGCAGTGTCCTGGGTTGTGTCAACAGGAGCATAACCATCTGATCAAAGAAAGTCTAAAAGTCTGTTCGTTAAGAGTATATTTTAACAGGCAGCTGTGCCCACAAAATATTCTTGCCACTATTGCAGGGTTTTGAGCACTTTTTGTCTGTCCCACACAAAGTTAGATCACAAGAGAAATTGTTAACTGCCAGTTCATTTGTGCAGAGGAAGGCCAAGGGTAGAGTTACTACTGTTCTGCAGCACAGGGAGGGGGAGCTTCAAGCTCAAGCAATAAATTACTTCTTTTCTGGAGGGGCATAGTCTAGAACAGTATGTATTAGTTTTGTGATTGTTGTGATTAATTTTCTGCAAATAATGCATCCTTTTTAGGATCCTAAGAGAAAAGCCCCAGAATGGGACCACAGAAAGCTCTGATAACTTGGAGTAAAATTGCAGTCTTGGCCTCTGAAGTGTAAGCTGCGTAGTATTGCTACCCTTCTGCTCAAAAGGCTTCATTAGATTAGTGTAACAAAATCATCCCATTTTAGGCTCAGCTTTATTTTTTAGGGATTAAAAGGACAAGATAAAAGGGGAATACAAAATTCTGTTATCCCACTTTCTGTTCTATTACTATGAATTAAATATGCATGGGTATCGTTGCATTAGAGTCAGCAGGACCTAGTAAATTCTGAATTCTTGACCTCTTCTAGATTAAAATACTGTAGTGTATCTCAGTATTGGTTAGAAAAGAGTCTCTGCAAAACTAGCTTCACACAGATAACAATGCAGATGGAAAAAAAATCTGCAGTATAAGAAGGACAATGTCTAAGGAACAGGAAAATTTTTTTTCCTCCCAAACATTGTAGTGATTTCTTTCTGTGTTATGATAGGGCATTAGATTTCACCTCGAGCTCGTCACTGAAATGAGATGGTATCCAAGCAGGAGTATTTCACATAAGTCTTACAAATATAGTCTCTCTTTCTAAACGTGCTTTTTGCATATTGATGAAAGAAACACTGTTTTTTGTTTGGCTTATCATTCACACAACTTAGTCTTCAGTTCTGTGCTATGCAACAGAATAGCTGCATTGAAAAAAATGCCTTCAGTCTCTCTTTACAATGTTAGTAATCCTTCTACCTTTTTGGTGGGACTTTTTTTTAGTTTGTGTCACCTGAGCATAGAGTCAAATTCATTCAGAAACATCAGTAAGAACAATTTGCAATAAATAGAGATTAAAATATGCAAAGAATCATGGGAGTAAGTAAATGCTAAGTTCAAACTTGGAAGTAAAGTTTTTCCTATTGATTTCCTTGCTGTATTTAATAAACGAAATCATAGCCCAGTGTTTAAAAGAGTTTGCTTTTTATGCTACTGTGTATGTTAATGTTTCTAGGAAAAAATGAAGATGCTTTCTGCAGTTCAAATACTGCTTGGTCAAATATATAATATAATCATTCACTCTGTTCCATACTGTCACATTCTGATGGTTCCCAATGGAGTATTGTTCTGATGCAGATTTAAGCTTATTGTGGGCTTGCAAAATATCAGTGAAAATGCATTTCAAATTCTTTTACAGACAGTGATGTTACTAACAGTGCATACTAACACAAAAATCTTGATTTGAAGCCTTTATTGTTTTTTCCTTCTTGGTGTTCTTAAAAGACTTAATTTTGCATTTTACAAAATTATGTGAAGTAGCATGAACAACTTAGCCCGTATGAATAAATGGGAACTTCCTCAAGTGAGGAGGTAAGGAGTCAAATAAATTAAAAATTACTACTCATATTTAGGAGGGCAATGACTGCCATAGCCCTTACAAATACAATGAAAACTCTTTATTCACTCAAAGAATTGGCTTATGTTTAAAGCACAAATAGTGAGACCAGTTCCAAGTACCATCAGATGAGGTGGATTGTACAAACGTTTTTCCCTGGTTCTTCAAGGCTGACCACAATCCTAGCAGAAGTTTAGTCATACTATGGAAACTTCACTTGATTTCACTTGTAGCTAGTAAAAAAACCCATAAATCACAGATCTTCTGCTTTGGATTTTTAGCTGGTGTGAATTGCTTAGAGTTTGATGGGAGGCTGTAGTGATTAACCTTTCATAATGTAGGTTATACTTCAAATACACAAAGCCATTTTTTACTTGCATGTGTCATCCCAGTGCAAACAAAGCATCTAAGTGATTCCATGTAAAAGCATTATGTTAGTGATGACAAATATATTTAACCTCATACAGTGATTTGTGTTCTGCTGTGAAGGACCTGCTGTTTAGGTGATAAGTGCTTAGGTTCACTATGTCCCTGAAGGTTACTTCAATTCATGTTCTGTCTGAAGTAATAGTTCAGCTTCCTTTGCTTTTCCCCCTTTTCAGTCCTTGCCTCGCTTTGCTTCGCTTTCTCTATCTCTAGTTCAGTTTGAGCAATTCCCTTAACATTTGCAAGCTAAAGCATGGTGCTATCTGGCTATCTATCTCCATTAAATTATCCTCCAGATCTTTAACTGCTTTGTGCTGTCAGGAAAATGTGAATGTAGCTTGGGAGTGCATATTAGCAAGACATATTTGTTCTAACTTTGAACATTTTGGCCAAAAAAAGGATTGACTGTGTCCTAAGACCTTCAGGCCTCTGCGAGGAAAAAAAACAACATACTTTACAGAGGGGTAGACAGAAAGTTAAATAAAACGTTAGTGATGCTTTGAGTGTTTTGCTTGTTCTCGTGGATTGGCTCCATGTCCTGATCTTTCATTAAGGATTTCAGCATTTGAGAAAGTCATTGCTGTGGCATGTGATGAAATCAGCCAATCGTGACTGTTCTGCATGGCTAGATCTACTATATTTTGTCCAAGAATTGGAACAAATTCTTATTAAATGATTAGGAAAAAAAGATTAACACCTTTTTATCAGTAGAGGAATTATCAACGTGAAACATTTTGTCCTGTAGCATAATTCAAAGCTGTAGAGGCATAGAAGAGAGGAAGCTGAGCCTAGAGAGACGCTGATGTTATTAAACAAACCTGCAGTTTTAGTGGAGTTAAAATCAAGTGTAAAAAGCGAAAATAACTGTTGCTTAAGCTGTCTTAATTATATACTTTAAAATGATCTGTACTGCAGTTCTTATTTGTAATATTGAGGATTTCTCTTCAGCCACACTAAGTTTGGCAAGCAGCAGGGTGTGGGATAAAGGCCTTAGCTACTTTCTCTCACTCCACGTACTCAGGTACTCAATTGGAGTAACTATGTAGTTACTCTAATTTAGCTGAGCTTGGTTGAAGTTGACCATAAGATTCACGGACAAGATCAAAGTAGAATTTTATGCTGGGGTGAGAGATCTTGATTAAAGCAGTGTCTGCATTAGGAAACTGAACTTTCTTCTCCAGCTTGTATTTTATTATATTCTTTTTTCTGAAGCTAATGATGCAATATCAGTGACTTTTTTTTTGTTTGCTCTATGATGTTCTTAACTGGTTCTGTGCTGTTTTGCAAGGCAATTTATAATGGTACACAGATAATTATGAGAGTTTTCTGAACGGGTTCCATTTAATTCCATGATTAAGTTAGTCACTTAAGTCACATTTGAATCTCCTGTCCCTTTTCTTGAAACAACAGAAGGGAAACCTGAAAGATGTTCTTGTTCAGGTACTTTCTAAAGCCTTAAAAGGTATACCGTAACTTGGCTGATTCTACTATTCTAACGATAATCCATAGAGTGCATTAGAGTTGGAGTGCACTGCCTCCAACTATAGAAGCAGGAGTCTTTGAGACAATAACAAATGGGTAGGGGTTGCCTCAATCACACCTTAATTCTCTCCCCCCCCACTCCCCACCCCGCCCCGAGTTTAAGACAGATGGTGGGTATCATGGAATTTTTTGTAGTGGTTTGCAGCCTACCTCAATTCTCCATGTTTCAAGTTCTTATACAGTAGCAGTAGTGCCTGAAATAAAGTAGACGTGATAAATAGTCACAGTAAGTAGTAACTAGAATGATCTACTGAATGTTAAAGTGATCTGAAAGACAGCTCCTGTAAAAGTTAGGCCCTCAGGAACATGAAAGTGAGACTCAAAAATGGAAACTTACCCAAAGATGGCAGGTGCAAATGGCTGAGGTACTGACACTCGAGGGCAGGAAAGGTTTTGAGGAGGAAAAAAAAAATCACAAACATATTTAGTGCGAGTGTCTATTCTGTAGTTCTTCCTATCTAACCACCAGCCTTTTAAAGACAAACCTAATAAAGTGCTTTTAAGTTCTCATTAATAAAAATGCCAAAGTCCAAAATTGCTGTCTTAGAACATTTTTGAACCAGCCGCTACTTATCCTTGCATATATAGGCACTAACTACTCCTCACTTAGCAGTAGCTTCATAGATGCTTTATTCTTACTGTTTGTGACTAGAACTGCTTAGTCTTAAATAGCTCACTACTTGCCTTCTGTCCAAGCCTGTTCAGTAGGATGGCGCTAGTTATATTTTTGCCTGAGAAGTCCCGTTCAGGAACACTTGGATTCACTGTGTCTCAGAATGCACTTTTGGCCACTGTCTTTCAAAACATAACCAAGAAGGTCACAAGAGATTATAATATTAATTTGGGCACTAGAAAAGTGAGAAATTGGACCCATGACTTCAGGAGGGAGTGCTGATGACCATCCCCTAGGCTACTGTGGGATGCAAAAAAACCTAATCCTTCTGTTGAAGATAGCCCTCATAGCAAAGAACTTGTCGAGGTACGGAGAAAACAGGCCTGAATCTATGGCAGGCACAAGAAGAACGAAAGACTGGAAGTCCGGTTCCCGCTCTAAATATTGTTCAGGGAATTCTCTTAAGTACAAAATGCATTAACGAGTCCTTTAAGAGGAAGCTAGAATTTTAGTGCAGCCCTAATTTGATCCATGCAGACCAACTGCTACTTTTGTTTGAAATGAAAAATTGTTGCTTTAACTTACTTGAATGTTGCTTTTCATTTCTATGGCAAGTTAGAAAAAAAAATCATAGTGTTTCAAGAGCCATAACTTAAAATATCTGCTGTGTGCCAAGACGTAACTGTTAACTCTAGCTATAATAATAAATGCAAGGAGGCCACCTCATGGTGGCTGAAGGAAGTTGTAACTTTGTTCATTTAAAATCTTTTCCGTGAAATTGGATTAATTTTGACAAAAGTAGAGAATAACCATCTGAACTACAAGGAAATTGAATGCTGCTCACAGGAAGTACATGAGGAGTGGAAAGTTGCAGCAGCATGTGAGTTACAGGGTGTAGTTGCACGTGCATAAATAGCCTTCAGGGCTTCTGGAGTGTCCTTGATCACTGCATACTACTTTGTTATGAAATAGCATATAGTCCTAGCCGTTTTTTCCCTCAACCCATACCTCCCAACTGTTTAAGGCATGGGTCACTGCTCACAGCGTTCAGGAGTAAAAGTTAAAGTCTCTTTACCGTTTGACTTAAGCATCAAGAATTCCCTGCTCCTAATACCACTGCTTAGATAGGGCCTAGGTACAACCATGTGAAAAAACAAGCAGCAGTTTGGACCAAGGGCCAGCACAGGGAAAAAATCGTAATTCTTACAGGTATGATGGCTAGAAGCTTATGTCATGAAGAAAACAAAAAGGAAGCTTCTAAACTTCTTTTCTCCTCAAAACTTTTCCTGACCCTAAGAAATGAGTTGATTTTTTTTTTTTTTTTTTTTAACCACAGGTCTTCATGCCAGAGGAATATCCTATGTAATGTATCATTGTAATGACTGGCAGCATGTCTGCCTAATGTGACAACTGGTAGTTTTGCAAGTGTTATATACCTTGATATTTTAATCTTTATTTATGCAGGGACTCAAACCAATAGTATCCACTGAATCCCCAGCTTTGATTTTTGGGACAACAACTAAACTTGCTTCAGACTTACCAGCAGCTGGTTCTTTCTTGGGTAAAAACAAGGTGCCAGACCTACAGAAACTTTTTCAGGTAACAACAACTTTGAGAGTAATTTAAAGAAAACTGGAGACAGTGGGCCGTATCTTGCCCTATTTTAATGTGGTTAACTAATTTGTCATTCTACAATAGCTACAATTTTTAAAGTCTACTTAAGAAAGTGCAATCAGTATAATCTAGATCAGTCTCGGGTGAGCTTGTACTGGGTATAAATATAGAAAGTAAGTGAGTCTTTTTTTTTTTTTTTTTTTTTTTTTGCACTGACTTCAAAAGATGCCTATTGTATCATTTGAGTATTGGAAGCACTTTTCCTGAGAATCCAAGCATATGACTTAAAGACGATCTGGAGGAGCAAAGCAGAGATTACTACTGCTTTATGTTTTGTAGTTGAAACATTACTGAAGCTGTGTATGATGTAGTGGAAGAGGAATACAGTAAGGTCTTCAAAGCCGGTTTGTTAGCTGTACAGTTTGCAAGTGTACTGGAACTTCTCAAAACAAGTCAGTTAAGCTCTTTTTTTAAATATCAGGAATGTGCTCTATATAATGTACCCTTTTCTCTCTTACATGCCACTTGCATTTGGAATGTGTCAGTCTGAATTGGTGAATAACCTTTTATACCTATCTTCTCACATTCTTTTGTTGGTGACATTTTTCCAGTCCAGGTCCTCTTTAAAAATTATATTTCAAGATGTATTCTTTGTGCCTGCACATAACAGCTTTTGCTAATAAAATTAACTAGCCTTTGCATTTGTCTTACTAAATGAAAAACAGTTAATACACTAGACTGCAGATAGCCCATTAGTCAGCAGATTTCCCTCTTGAAATTCTCTTAATTTTAGTTGAGGTAGCTTGTTCATGGTGGTATCTGTATGTGTATTCATTTTTTTTGTTTTTAAACTCTTCCCACAGAAAGCAGATGGACTGCCAGTACACCTGAAAGGGGGAGTTCCAGATAAGCTGCTTTATCGGACCACTATGGCTCTAACAATAGGCGGGACTATCTACTGTCTAGTAGCACTGTACATGGCCTCACAGCCAAGAAACCAAAAGTGAATGAACAGTAACTAATGGGACTAACGGCGTTTCTCTGAAGGACCTCCTGCTTATATCTCTCTTCACTTGCTTTTTAATCCTGTGATCATATAGAGTGTGTTATTCAGATCAAATGCGTTTGAGAAAGTATTTTTAAATTGGTTGCCTTATGTATTCTGGAAATCATATAAACAAAGATTTAAAGCCACCCTTTTGATGTACGGTTGTAGCCTTGCATTTGTTGTTGTGCAGGAGTGTATGAACCGTTGGAGAAAGTTTACTTTTCTTCTTTCTCTTCCTCCATATGCTGTTAGAGATAGGACAGGAGAAATACTTTTGGAGCAATATTCCATGCCCCTCAGTGGGAAGATGCTATCAGTTTCAAAAACAGTAAAGCAAATCATTTAATTACTGCTAGACACCAAGAATCTGTTCCTGTCATAGACAACTCATTTTACATAAGCAGGTGGTAATGGAACTTTTCCAAATGCTGGTATATCTTTAGGCGTTTGTACCTTTAAGGCCTTTGTCCTACTGATCGTTATCTCCTTGAAACATTCAAACAGGGTTTGTTCCATAATGTAAACACCAATGTATGCAGCAGAATGCAGCAGTACTGTAGCATTAGTTATACCAGTTTTTGGACTATCACTTGTCAAATTCTCATGTATTGTGCAATAAAAATAACTACATGAATAATTAAAGTGGCAAGTCTTGAAAGTCTCATACTGTTTCAGCTGGCCCAGTGGTAAAGTATAGTAGTTTAAGTTCAACTTGTAGATCTCAAACTAGACGATTGAACTGCCTTATTGTAATCTTTCTGAGATGGTAATCTGCTTGAAACCTTATCTCAGAACTCATGGGATGCCTAACTATAATTTTTTTTGTGAAACAGGTCACTACATTTCGTAGCTCAGCTGGTGGGGAAACGGTTGGAAGTTAATAAAACCCTTCAATTAATTCTTTCCTCTGTAGAATCGGAACCTTGGACTACAGCTAGTCTTGCACACAAGCCTTCATACAAGCATCTCCTAATTTAATAGGTATTCCTCTAGTTTATGAACAGAGTATTCACTCCTGGTCACTCAGACACTAAATCTGGGCAAGAGTGGTTTCACTGGCCTCTGTCAACACCTGTCTCTTCCAGAGCTGTGAAGAAATCACCTTCCTCTTAAATAAGCAAAATAGTTGATAAAGAACCTAAAATTTATATTTGTTCGTTCTCTTACTAAAAACATTCTAATTTGTTTTGCAATTAAGTTGTACTAAAGCCTTATTACTGTTCCATAGAAAAGGAAATAGCTGCTTGTACTTTGATCTCAGGTTTCAGGCGGTGTTGCTATTTCAGGAATGGAGAGATTAAGTCACTGGATAAGAAATTTGTAAGGACAGCAAGGCTCAAAGAACAGCAAAGGATTAATGAACTTCTCCAGCAGCTGACAGCTACATAGTCTATAGTCTCTGCTGATAAAAATATATTAACCGCAGTAGCTCATGCTTCCACGGATCAAAGATTCATGTGCTGTAGGCTGCAGTATCTTAAAAAAAAAAAAAAAAACACTGACCATGTCTTCCCTGCATTATCATATATTAAGCAGCACCTACAATAATCTTCTAATAAAGGATACTTTGCTTTGCACACAAACTTGACAGGTAACTCTTCATGAGGATAAGTTTTGCTCAGAGAATTTATGTTCTGAGCTTTTTAAAAAAATATTTTTAGAGTTCACATAGAGAATAACAACTTTCTGATTGTTGCTAGGGCAGATGTGGATGAAGTAACTAGACTGTTATCCCATAGCTTATTAAGAATTGGAAATGGTCTGCAGCCATGGGGATAGGCTCCAGCCTTGAGAGGAAAAGGAAATTGTGCATTTCTCTATCCCCACAGCGAAGTGCTCTGAAGAACAGGAAAACTTGCAAGCTGCAGCCTGAGGTGTTAGGATGTGGAAGCAAAATCTTGCCCCTTTTCGCAATTATTTTACGATCATAATAAAGAAGTTACAGCATGGTTAAAGCCTTTTTCTTCCTAGAAAAAAAGGCTCTGTTTGTTAGTCTGTTTTAAAACATTTGTGATGCCAGAGAGCTCTAGAACACGTAAAGAGAATTTAAGTAAGTGTTTTGAATTATTGTCTGTCATAGAGAAAAATGAAACCTCTTGTTCCTAAGCCCTCAAGAACGCTCATACCTTTAAAACAAATAGCCTGTCCCTGCCCTGATGTTAAATTAAGTCTTAAGCAAGGAAAACAAGGAGTGAACTGCACCATCAGGAAGGCTACTTCCTTATTTTGAGTCGTCATCCTCACAAGTAAGAATCTCTGACTTGGATACTACAGCTTTATTTTATATGGGGTATGTTTTGTTTTTGAAAGAGCCTCAGTTTTATCTTGGAACTTATACAACTTGCCACCGTTAAGAACCAAGAAAACAAGATACATTGTATAAGTGATAGCTTATACTCTAATGTTTTGGCTTGAATGCACAGCAGAGAATAAAATATAATAAGTAAGTTCTCATACCCTAAGGTGCTGGGGTTGGGAGGGAGAGCAGCTAAAATTTACAATACTCAGGAAAAAAAAATTAGCTTATGATAATCATCCATCCCCATGGCATTATCTTATTGTTAAGGGACTTTAAACTAAAGAACATTAAATGGTCGTTTTCCTTCTTAAATGATCTCTCTGACAACCTGAATTCAATAGTTTTATTTTTGTAACTGTTTTGAAATAAGATCTCTCTCTACTTTTTATGTGGGAGTACTGGAATAAATGCACTTGAGAAGATGTTGATAGTATGTAATATGTCTTTGAGCTGCTTTAAAAATACAGACATGGGTAAGATCAGATTTCTCTGCAATATTACAGTATGACCATACAGTCCAACAGACTTCTCCTTTTCCCTCAATGTTTTAAAGTGTCAGTAAACTGATTATTACAATAAGAAGACGTTAATTGTTTAATCTTGCCTTAAAGCAAAACTTTTCCAATTACAAGGCCATGGAAGGAATAAAAGTAAGAGAAACATGGAAAATAGAAACCTGAGCTTCCTACAAATTAATCTTGCAGACTTCAGAAAGCTGTCCAGAGGTTTTAAGGGCCATTTCTCACACATGCACTAAAGACATTGTATCCACTCCCCCTTCACCATCCTTTCTCTGAATTCAGACCTTCTTCTAAGAGGCTTCTGAAGAGTCTCAGGTCAGTTTTTTCTCTCCTGTCACTAATCGTTACCTCTGCAAATTTTAAAATTTTAAACATCGGAAGGCTTTTGCCCAGAGGAAAAAAAATGTGTGTTTAATCACATAAATTACATGGAAAAATCATACTAAACTGTTCTCAAAAATCAGTTACAAAACTACCTGCATTATATGGCATAGTATACTACCCCTCCACCCCAACTGTTAGCCTAATGAAAAGCCTCACAGGAATCCAAACTCTGATCACTGTTTAAACTGGAAAATAGGAGGAACTTCCCTGTAACCTAAGCGTTAGTTATAGCAATAGGCATGAAAAACAACCTTTTGAGTATTAGTTCACTGAAGATTATTAATTAATAGGAATCCATTCCATTTGGCTGCACTGCAAGTGATACAAAGGTTGCTAAAATATGCTTTGAAGGGAAGCGCAAGGAGGTTACAAACGTAACTTTGTTAACGGTGTGCCCACGGATCAGGAAATAAGGTATACACCATCAAATATCATTATAGAATCTCACAAGTATGAGATGTTACTTTCAGTGAACTGTCCTGGTACTTCTTACTATGCCATGAAAGGAACAAAATTGTTGGTGGTTCAAGAGTCTCTCTGGAATATGAATATCAACAGAAATACATTTGTCACATGCCATTATTCTGAAAATTGGTAAACTTTTGGTAAAAACAGTCCTTTTGTCATCCAGGTCTATCACATAAATCTATATCACACTTCCCCAGTGACACAAATACAGTTCTGATTGTCACCTCTGCAGAGGCAATATAACCTGCATTATCCGGGATGGATAATGCTGCTGTAACACAAAACACCACTACTCTTTAGTAAATGAATCTCAAACGATTGTTCAACAGCTCCCAGGCAATACTCATTTGCACAAGTACCAATATGAAGACAAGACAAATGGGCAGTTGTCAGTGAATCTGCTATGTCCAAACAGCGCTTTTATTAAGTGTTCTGGCGCAATCAAGGTAAACAAAGGGGACTTCTGAGACTGGGAATTAGCAAAGCTATCTTTGTACTTTTAAAGGTCACCTGATTTTGCACTGAGTACCAAGTGATTTATAAATCTAAAATGCTGATTTGACTTTTTTCTCCTCTCTGGACAAACTTGCTTTGCTGATCCAGGTGTTTCAGCTTATTTCTCATTTCTTTGCTCTTTCACATTTGACTTTTCTTTCTTTCTTTCTTTCTTTTTTTTTTTTTTTTTTTTTTTTTTGCATTTCAGCAAAAATAAAGAATATAAGAGTAATATGAAAATCTATCATTGCTTAAGAGGGGAAGTGTGCAGCAGAAGCAAGAACTAGTCTGGTACAATTTAGATTGAAAGTTCCTTACAGCTATTTAATGATATATATTTTTTATAGATACAAAACCCCTAGAAGCTTTGCATGACAGTTTGGATATAATATAATTTACATTTTTATATCCTTCTCATTTATCAACAGCAATGATTACAGTACACCCAACTGAGTCACTGAAGCCAAATATTATCGTCTATGCCAGTTTAGGCTGGAGTGTCACCTGAGTGATATGTGAAAGAGGGACACAGAATCTGATACACATGTAATTGTATATTTGCAGTATTTTTTTGCAATAAAGGACAATTCCTGATCAGATGCATTGGGATAAATCTGAATAATATTAACTGTCTTAGATTTACTCTGTATCCACCTGAATGTCACACGACAGCATTAAGGTCAGTTATCTGTTATAAGTTACAGATTACAGAACTTTTTAAGAAAGTTGGTAATAACAATTATAAGCAAATTCACAGTTTTGCCTGGGACAAGTAGCTGGGTTCTGTGAGCCAGAGGAAACCATCAGATCTGACAGCCTGAATGGTCATGGAATTTCATCTTATCGTTATCAATTTTGCTTTCATAGAATTTAGGACAAGCTCCCATATTAATTGTAATAAATAACTCAATTTTTAGAGTAGGCAGAAATGCAAAATGATCCTCTATTTCTACCTATTTCTATCTTCCTGATTACAAATCAAATGTGATTTACTCTATTAATAATTTTTCATTAATAGTTTTGTTAGGAACTAACTGTGCAGGATATTCACTTCACTGCAGTAATAAAAGGCTTGAAATGTATTTCACATCATCGTGCACAAAAGTGAGAATTAGGCCTCTGTGTCTTCTCATTTTATCTGCTGTAATTGTTATAGCTGTTCAAAGCAAACTTAGGATAGTAACATTTTAATTCAGTAGCCAACTAGGTATAAGAACAAAATTGGGCCATTTCTATTTGAAATTAATCGTAAAACCAGTACATTCAACTTGGAAACAAAAACTGCTTTCAAATAATCTAACCTAAAAAAAAAGTTAACTTTAAAATAAAAGAATGAAAGTAAACATTCTTTCTGAAGCTTTACATGTCAAAAGAAACACTAGAATTTATAGAATAAAAACTAGAAAAACCTCTCACACAGAAACACATGCAATAGTCCTTATTGTTTCTTCCTCTCTGTGTAGCTGAAACTATTAATTGAATTTAAACCAAATCTGAGAATTATTTAGATTTCATTGAAACTGACTCACTTAACAGAAGTAATTAAGTAAAACGGAATGCAATTCATTTAGCTCTGGTGTAAACGGCTTCAATAGAAGTGCATTTACTCTTTGCAGGACGAAATACTTAGAGAACACTAGAATAGAGAATACTAAAACATAGGGGGATCAGCACAATGACTATTTTAGGGCTAATCTGGCATAATGAAGACTGAAAGAAAAAATATGACAGAAAAAATTGAGTGAGGTATTACAGTGAAGCAAATAAAATAATAATAATAAATAAAACTAGATGTATACTAATACATGAGCTGAAACCCGGACTTTGCTTCCTAATAAAGGCAAGACTGAAAGTGATATCCAAAGAACAGAGAGGATGCAAAATACAGCACTGTGAATTTTCCTCCATTGTTTCCCTTGAATGCCCAAACCTTCATCCGAAGCCATTATCCAAATAGTTTCACTTCTTGCTGTTCTATTAGGGATAACACAAATACTTACACTTAACGATGGAGACATTGGCCTTTGAGCGGATGGTGGAAAACAGACCTTCCATTATAGACCATTAAGGGTTTTGTGTGAGCAGAAGTTTATTTTTCTTTGGAAGGCAAAGAGGGTGTTTGGACATCTCAGTGAAGAGGGTAATGTTTATCAGCATTTCTCGAACAACCATACACTAGAATACCATTGAGCCATTTATGCTATAGCTGGATAAATTTTATTCTGTTTTATGTAAGCATATGAGGTCTATGTAAACCATATGCTTTAAAGTGAAGAGCTACGTGAATGAACCCTTTAAAGTCGGTTTGATTGCTACTGAATTGTAGTGGAACCTTGATGGTGCAGAACGCTCAGAGTTCACTAATGCAACATAAAGCACTGTTTTCTCTCCAGTGCTTAAGACTCAGTTATTAATTCACTGAAGTCACTATACTGCTTCTTCTAAATAGAAATATTTTGAAATAATCTCTGATTGAGTGGCCTCCGTGTTTTATCCTACCTACTGAATTTTCATGTTGTAGTGCTTCATCTAAATACGTTTTTCTCTCCCTTTTGAAGACCTGTACTTCTCTGTTCAAAATATATAGGATTATCTCAAATTTTAAGTATCTCTGAAAAATTTTCGTTTGAATTTGACCAATTTCCAGTATTAATGCCACATAAGACTATCTGGAGACTGACAGCCCCTTTGAAAGAAACATATGCCTTAAAAACATTTCTGAACACTACCCATAGGGGACATAAGATATCAAGAATTAACAGAAACAAAAACCTGTTTTATAAATAGGGCTGCATGAAAAGGAAACATGGAGGGTTGATAAGGTGAATTGTTCTCTCCGGCTTTGTTCCATTCAAACCTTCTCATTGTTGCAGATTTTTAGCAAAGCTCCCATTGCAGTGTTTTACTATGAGCCCCACCAATTTCCCTACTCAGCTCTAACTTAGTCCTTATGGTATTAAAACCCTTGGCCTAGGGCCACTGTAGATAGATAAACTACGGAGCACTTGCAGTTCAGTATCACAAAGTGAACCAGAAGCATTCAGCACCTGACAGGATCAGAGCTCAGGCAAGATGGCTATCATGAGTAGTTTGCCAGAGACTGTCCTTGGGGATTTATCTTGTCTGAAATAACTCTGTGCTTCATAGGAACATATACTGCACTTGTTCATTACCCAGCAGATTTGGCAAATCAGGAGCAGGAAGACGTACACTCAAGAAGTTTGATTCAGATCATAGAGAAGGCAAGGAAGTAACTTTTGTTATACAGTTGAAAACGGTAATATCAAAGGTATTGCAGGGAAGACATGCTTTGCATCTAAAATGTAAAATCGCTCTATGGAAGCTCAAAAAACTCGCACGTGCTGGGGATATTTAAAGGTGACAGTCGCTCTAGGACAGAGGTATAACCAAATATTTTGGGGCTGAATTATTTCCCCCATTTAGAACCTAAGTTATACGTAGAGCTTCTGTGTGGATGTTCAGCTCCCAAGTAAATGTTATCCAAACAGCTAACCTACTTGACTGCAGGAAAAGCAAAGTGTTTTGAAACAAAA